GGCGGGCGGTAGCGTCGCCCTGTGAGGCATGGGGCAGGGCCCTTCCTCGCTCCGCCGTGCTTGCTCCCGGTGAGCAGGTGTGGGGCGGGAACGAGCTACGGCGTAGGCCGGGGAGGGGGGAAGGAGGGAGGGAGGGAGCTTTGCATTGCCTGGTGTCTGGGGGGGGGACTCTCTGGGGTCATAATTACCCAAGCGCACTGAGAACAGAGCATCACAACAGCAAACAGGCTGAAAACAGGGCGTGGGTTTGTTTTTTCATTTCTTGTGCTCCGCTTTCCCTGCCTTCCCTTGCTCTTTATCAAGTCTTTGCCGTTGTATAGAGTTTTAGCCTGTCGCTAAGCTGAGGAACAGTAAGTGGACCAAGGGGGAAGAGTGAACGACCTGTGAAGAGAAATGCCAAACATAAAAGGGCACTACTTTCTACAAAATACTGAAACTGTATTTTACTCTGGATAAAATTACTTTTATGGGGATGAGCTGTATAGTGTCTGAGGGTGCATAATAGCTGTTTTTGAAATACCGATTAAAGCTTTTAGAAGGCTGGTAGGTTAGTTTTGTCTGCTGTTTTGTAATTACATATGTGTAAGTACAGAACTTGAATATCCCAAGAAAGGCCTGTGTCGTGTTAGGTAAAGTACCTTTTAAAGCCAAAACCTTCACACTTTTGCAGTCTGAAGCTTCCTTTTTTGAACTGGAGGGACGTAGTGCAGGAAGTTGTGTCTGTCTGCAGAGCTTGTTGCAAGCTCTGGATAAATGAGAGGTAAATGGAAAAGCACAGTTGGTTCTGTTGTACTCAAGTGGAAATTAGTAATCAAACTATGAGCTGTTGCTTTTATATCTCTTTTACTGCTGTGTTTGGCATAGAAAAAGGAAACTTTAAAATGGTAGATTCTTCTTTTTTTTACTTTCATTACTGATTCCCTTACGCATAATATGTTGGTTGTCATACTTAGGAGGACCTTCGTGTAGATGGTCGTGGCTGTGAAGACTACAGATGTGCAGAAGTAGAAACAGATGTTGTATCAAACACAAGTGGATCTGCAAGAGTAAAGCTGGTAGGTAAATTTCTTGGGGATTGTGTACCTTGCTGATGAAATTTCTGCTTTACATGACTCGTTTTAAGATAATCTGAGGCTATTTGTAGATGGGTTTGTGTGTGTGTGTGTAGCACAAACAGAAACTATGGGTTAAAGTAATAGTGACAGGATACATAATTCATTCAGGCTGGCTTAACCTGCTTGAGCTAGATTTACTATGTAGTACCTGGACAGCCTTCAGTCTGAACTAATCTAACATTTAATCTTGAAAACTGAAGTTGCTGTTGGGCCTAATCCTTGGAGAAAATAATTCTGTTCCTTTAGAGTGAAGCAAAACTACTTTTGGCCTGTGTTGACCGTGAAGAAGGTAAATACACTGTGCAGTATTATGAAGTTTCTGCATAAATAGCGGTTCCCAGAACCAAAATGACAGAAGTAGTCACGGATATTAAGGGTGTCTTTTTAACCTAGAGAAAGCTTATATATATGGTAATTATTTGAAGAATCTTCTTAGGCTTAATATTATCCTTCTAAAGGCTGTTTTAAAAAAACTAATATTATTTTAAGTTCAGTCTGGTGGAATGAGCAGTGCAGATAACTGAGAGGTAGAAATGTCATCTTACCGTAGGCATTTAAATTAAATGAGTAGTTCTGTGACTGTAATTCCAGTTGTGCAATATGTTTTTGTTTTAACAGGGGCACACTGATATCTTGGTAGGTGTAAAAGCTGAAATGGGGACACCGAAGTTAGAGAAACCAGATGAAGGTTACCTGGAATTCTTTGTTGACTGGTTGGTATACTGGAAGAGAAGGAAATAGATCTAATATTTGTAATAAATGACTAGTCTGATCTTACCATTCTCCTGAAGTTTACGCCTGCATTCCACTAACCTCCTGTAAGGTTCTGAGTAATAGGAACAAGTTATTTTACTGTTTAGGTAGTGGTGAATATTCAGAAACTTTCTGTTGGTTCTGCAGACCCAAAATAAGCAAAACAATAGCAGTTAAAGAATTAAAACAGGTTGAATAAAACAATCCCAAATTGCATAACATCACTGCAGCTGGAAGAGTGTAATGGTTCGGTTACACGTGCATTTAACATGACTTCATGACTACAGTGTCAGTTGTCTTTTTTATGGTAATAGAATGGAGAAAATCTCTTTCAAAAATTAAGTATTCTAGAAGAAAAGAATTGACTTATACAAACTGTACTTACAGGCTTGCTTACATTGTGAAAGCAGTGGAAAAAGTTTGAAGTGTGTTTTGTACAAATCTGTTTAAAAAAAAAAAAAGAAAAAAAGAAAAATCCTCATTGTAAACATCAGATGCAAAAGTTAATTAGAAAATTTAGCTACCATATTTATCAGTGAATCAGTATTTCATTAACTAAAATGGTATTTGTTTTTAATAATATTCGTGGCTTTTTGCTACAATGGACTGTGTTTTAGCCTTACAGTCTTCATAGTGCTTGAATTATGAAGGAAGCTAGAAGAAAACTGAGAGCTCTTGTTTGCCGCTTGCTCTGACATAGCTGCATAGTGTTATTCCAGACTGTCTGCTCTCTGAAACTACACCATCCGTGTCTTGCAGACTTCCTAAAACTGTTCTTTATGAAATAATGTGTTTTGGGAACCTCTCATAAAAGCCTTGGCACTGTCCTTAGCTTTTTTGCCTATGACCTTTCTTTTTATTTTTATTAAAACCAAAAAAATCTTGCTACTCTGACATTAAACCAGTATACCATTAGTAAAGCTAAGGTATGAGAGCTACTAAGTAAGCGTGTATCTGATAGTCTTTCTGACCTAACTGGCTATATCTGCCTTTGTATCTCTCTCTCACTATGCAGTCTTATCTAAGGCTGCTTCTGTACATTGTGGGGTACTAGTTAGCTGTGGAAATGGACAGTTTGTAGAGGGAAGGGCTCACCTGTGAATTAATGGTTTGTCTATGATGACTGTTCAAAAAATGTCAGTCAGGAAGATGATATGTGCTCAAATGTGCTCGTGCCGTTACAGGGGATCTGAGCTTGACTGCTTTGTAACAGTCATGTATGAAATATCCTGAATAGTACCTGCTTTGTTCTGCTGTTTTCTATATGAAGAAAGGGACATTTCCTTAATAAAACAAGTGGTCTGTGGGGATGTTGCGGTTCTGTGACACTTCTTTTGTATGTAAATCAATGTCAGAAGAACTTCAACTTGTTAGATTAATGTTAGGTTGTATTTTCTAACCATTAATCTCTGCTTTGTAAGAAGATGGGAGGGAGATGTGCAGCAATGTTGTGCAAGATGGATCTTGTCGGTTCTAGAAATAGGTGATCACTTTCCTTGACAACAAAGACCAAAAGCTTACATTTTGGAGAAAGGTAGTCATTGCTCACATGGTCGTGCTGCCAGTGAAAGGTAACCTCTAGCCTCCAGAAAGATCCAAAAGACAACATGTGAAGTGGAGGCAGCTTGTTCTCTGTGAAGGATAGTGAGATGCTGTGAGTACTCTGATGCTTTTCCAGGCTGCCACTGGGTGGTAGTAACTGAGCATAGTTTGAGACACTGCATCTGCTGGTGAAGTTCCTGAAGTTCTACTTGGCTTTTATAGTGTTGAAACTAGTAACAAAAACTCACACTGCAGTGTTTGCCATCTTAGGATGCTTATTTCCTGAAACTTTCATGATTTCTTGTACTGCTGAAAATAAATGTGTTATAGCAAGAGGCAGGAGGGAAACTTAATGAGTGCTGAAAGATTGAAATGCCTTAACTTTTTTTTTTTTAGCATACATCTTTAATGTTGGAAGTATTGTCTGTACTGGGTGGGATTGAGTTCAGTTTTCAGGGAGAAACACTGTCTGTGGCTTGAGTAAAACTGTTTCAAACTCTATAAGCATATGTTTTTTTTGGATGGGAAGTGTGGTGACAGTGGCTGACCAGGCAGCGACCTGAATCAGTAAATCCATATTGGTAGTTTGACTAGACTAAGTCCAAACCCTTGTTAGCCCACTTGTTTGTAGGGTCATGAGCTTGAATATTGTCGTAGTCATATTGACACAATTAGTCAGCATCTGGACCTGAATTCAGGTCTGTATTTCTGGGACTGCCTTGGCAATCCAGATATGTTATCAACATGAAGTCTTCTGGCTGCTTTCTGGAAGAGTGGAATATTAGTGAGGACTTCCTGCCGATTCTAAAACAGTGGATCTGCCTTCTTGTTTTAAATGATTGTATGTTTCTTTTGGTGTGAGAATAGAAATCTGGTATTGGTTGCTTGAAGTAAATACAGCTTTAAGTGAAGAATATCCTCTGTGTAATGAAGCCCTTCTATACCAGGAAAGTAGCTGTAAGCTTTTGTTTAATTAACTGTTTTTTCTCTGTTATGATTATACTGTTATATAATTTATTTCTGTTATAATTATACATAATTACTTACATTGTAGATTATAGTATATTAATGGCTGGAGCAATGGATGGGAGGTATTTAACTACTGTGAGAGAAAGGTTTTGACTGGTAGCAGCAAGGGTTTTGAAATTCAGTAGAGATCTGTGGTAGAAGCATCATTATGCTTTAGGGGGAGTCTTGATTGTCACACAGTGTGACACTGAAATGGTTTTGCAAGTCTTTCAAGTTACATTCTGTTTGGGAGTAGAAATTCTGTGCTCCATCTGGCCACTACTAAGTTCTTTCTGTGCTCCATAAAATAAGATTTTTAGCATTTTCTCTTACTAGTGTGCTAGACAACCCCTTTTCAAATTTTACTTAGTGTAAATTTCTGCAATAGTCTGTGAACGTTAGGTGGCAATATTTACCATATAGTTATAATATGGTACCCTACTAACTTCACTTCTTTATTTCACTTTGATTGCAAGGAACTGAAGTGATAAAATAATGATATTCCAATTGAGTCTTATGTTCTTCCTACTCACTGTCAAAGAAAGTGGCCATTTATGATTCAGAAATATAACATTTGATAACACTTTGTGTTTAGAGATAATAAAGATGTATAGATTGGGACTTGTATAATTCTTTTGAACTTAACATAGGAATCATAATACTTGCATGACCATGCTTTTAACAGAATGGCTTAAACAGAACCATGTAGTTAACTTGCATAAAAGCTACTTCCATGGATAAGTGCTTGTTTAATACCACCTGAAGACCTGACTCAGCATATTTCCAGAATTAAGTTATACTTGGATATGTCCTTTCTTATAAAATTGGTGTCTACTAGTAACACAACTGTGAATAATACTGTGTCGCCCACTTACAGTGCTTATTTGTGGGGCAAATGTAGTCTGGAAGCATAGGTCTGCTTAATTGGCAGTAATTTTTTTATTTTGTTTTTTTAAAGCATGTACAGTGCTGTCTGTTTATAGAAGCAGCAAGTAATGTCTATAAAATCCAGTAGCAATTCCTGGCATTCTGAGTTTTCATCAGTTCTGCAAAAGAACAAGTTGAGAGAATTACTGTGAGGTAATGCTCATAGGTAGGAATAATAATAGGTAATTCTATGTAAGCTTATAGGCTCTGCAGTCTTGTTGTTACAGCTCACTTGATGGTTTAAGTCATACCTAGATGATGTTTGAACAAATCAAAACTACTTCTGTGGAACCACCTCCTTTCCTGTGTTCTGTAATGAGAAACTAATTTGGGAGAGGTCTGACTAATTTATTTAGAAACAAGATCGGCAATGTGTGCCACTGCTTGAGAATGCTCTTGCCCCTTGTAGAAACCAGAGGTTGGGCTCAGAATATTTGTTTGTTGTCTTGCTGTATATGCATCTCTGGACATTTCTGCTCTATTTCGTTGTGACTTGGAGGGGGCGGGGGGTTGTTTGGGATTTTTTGTGTTGTGGTTTGTTGTTGGGTTTTTTTGTGGGCCTGTTTTATTAGGATTTTGTTCTTAGCTGTGTACAAGGCCCCAGCACCCAAGGATTTTCTTGCATGACTGCTCATAAACAAAGTTTGTTTTGTTGGAATCAGGGAAGTGAAGGCCACACGCTTTTGTCGGATGCCTTCTGGAAAAAATGTTCTTTAGCTGCTGCTCTCCGTAAGCTGCAGTTGCTGAAAATAATGAGCTGCTGTCCATAAGTGGCTTGATAGCAGAGAGTACACTCAAGTAAAGAAATTACCAATTAAGGTCAGGCAGTGTCACTTAAAAAAAAAAAAGCGTATTCTACCTGTCTTATTGTCACATCTTTCTCTTCTTAGCCATTCTCTTATCTTATTAATTTAACATTCAGCTCTTAACAGGCCATCTTGTTAGCGGTTCTGAACTTAATACAGATTTCTCTCATTTCTTTATTTTTGAAAGGGTTGAGGTGATAGAAGATGAGAATGCTTAAGAAATAATCCCTGAGAGAATTCATCAACTTCAATATTGTAACTTGGGAACTGAAGATAGTAGTGGAATTTAATTAGTATCAGAGTTTGT